TGCAGAAGTGACCCGGCGGGCATGCCACCGCATTGGTCTTGGCACTCCCCTCAGGACAATAGTAGCCGTCGGCGCACCTTCCTGTTACTTCAGGCTGTCCTTGTCCCTGGCAGGCAAAGCCTAAAGACAACTAACCACAGACACCATTGAGTCGAACTCGCCAGCTGCTGCTCCGCTTTAACGGCATTGCTCGCAGAAAGGCTCCTTTGCAGAGTAGAGCGATTCAAATGCTGCAAGGGTCAGGCTTGCGTTGCGTGCTTTCCACAAAGAAGTGAATGCTTCCAGGCTAACCAGCAGGACATGGTATGCAGTCGTCCTCTGTGGAGCCTCCTTCGCTGTTTGAAAAAGTGCCTTCAGGACAGGGGACCTCCGTGGAGCTTTCACCCCTGTCTGCCGGAGATACATATACTTTGCGAACTCGCTTGTTCCCACTGTCCAAGATGTACAATGTAGTAGTTGCGCTTCCAAGCTGCGGCACACACAGAACGTTACCTTAGCGTCGGGGGTGAGGTCGTAGCTGACCAGTTACTCAGGCACCATCCGTTGCTGCGAGGATTTAGTACCTGATCGGCGACTGCAAATCCTGTGGGGCTGTCGATAGCGGCCTCTGGGGCTGGGATAATTCTTCCATCGCCAGTGAAGCCTTTAGTTCCTGTTCCCAATATTTGCTCTAGGCGGTGGGTTTGCAAGTCCAGCTTCCAGATTCTGAAAAAGCAGTCAAGAGTGGCATGAAGTACGCGAGAAACAGTCATTTGTCTGTATGACGGCCGACCCGAAATAATACATGCGCATGCAATGCCCTTCGTGCAAGAGCAGGCCAAACGAGGTAGGTATACTTGTGGAAGGTGGCACGCGACCGGTGGTTAGAACTTACATGTGCTTTGTGGAGTCTGCTAGAAACAATGTTGGCTGCAGATTCAACAGTTGACATGCGCAGCAACTTCGGGATAAACTCAAACACACGAGTTTGCAGAATTCGCAGACCTGCATTCACTGCCTGCCAACGACGTGCATTCTTACGTTAGCTAGCTTCCCGTAAGCCATGGAAGTTATATCCCCGAGGACGTAGTCAAGGTCCGACTCTTTCATGGTTCGTAAGAGGGGTGGGTGAATTTCCAGTACCTCCACTTGATCGTCGAGGGCCCGGATGATCTAAAGAGTGCAAACAAACGAGCCTAGAGAGCCATGTTTGTTTCGTGCTCTAACGCAAGTGTACGGTACCAATATCTGGATCAAGTAGCTTCGATTGAACGTACTCTAGAGTTCCCGCTGTTGCCGTCAGCGACGTAAATCTCGCCGTCTAGGGAAACGGCGACAGCACGCGGGTTGTTCAGTTCTATGTCCGCTGCAAACACACGGCCGTATGCACATAACCGCCAAAATGTTTTGATTAGGATTTCTGTTCATTGGACAAGCAGGCGTTCGTTTGAGCTCAAAACGAGTGGGGGCGTGACTCATTGCAGTATTTCTCTTGATTATCCTATCCACGAAACAGTCGATGGACGCCTCCATCTGGGATCGAAGCATCGTCTCGTGAAGTTCTGGAATAAGTAGCAGCATGAAACTAAATATTTACACCGAGACACAACTCGCCGGTACTGGCTGCAGCTGCTCGTTAAATCGGTATCCCCGCACGTATGCGGACCTACCTGTGGCTCCTTGTCCTACAACATCCGTTTTTGTTTGGGCCCGTATGTTAATGGACGATACTTTGTTCGCAGCTGCTTCAGCGACATAAAGTGTCGCGCCATCGAGAGAAAGGCACAATCCCGCAGGGGAGGACAAGTTGCTTACGAGATCACTTTCAGTTTTTTCGTTCAAGTTGATTGCCACGACCTTGCCAGCACCTGTAGGGCAAGAAGGCGGACACGTTAGTGAACGAACAGAAGTCTAAATACACGTTTCGAGCTCATCACGGTGAAGGTGACGTGGATTGATTGCACTGATCGTTGTTCACAACCGGCTATTCCGGGAGTAGACCACTAACCAAGCCCTGCATCGTGTAGATCCACCCACCAGACTGCGACACATAAAGCGTATTTCCATCGTCAGATACTGCTACGCCTTCTGGTTGGGTAACTCCTGTTTTAATGTCAGTAAGAACTCCTGAAAACGCAACTCAGCATAGTTTCGAGCGCCGTGTCGCCATTCTGCTTTGAAATCCTTATCCAATTGACGTTGGACGCACTTGCGCATCCGAGTGAATGTCCATGGTGCCGGCGATGTGCAACAGTTTTCATGGCCACCAAGAAACTGCTACAGAGAGCAGTCGAGCTAGCAGGGTGGCGGTGCCAAGAGCTCGTGCGATTTATATCTGCCAACCTACAGTACTGCGACAGAAAGAGCACCGATTGACAAGATTACCTGTGGTTAGATGAATGGTGCTGATGCGGCCACCAGTGGAGTCTACTACCACCAATTCTCCTCTTGCGATATTCATTGCTACTGCTTTTAGAGTGGTAAACGTTGCTTCTTTTGCTTGGCCTCCGGTACCACTAGACCCAGCAGCGCCAGTGCCCGCAATTGTGTCAACAAGGGAGCCTGATACACAATGTAGAATACAGGCGATTTCTGTCCACC